TTTTAACAGCCATATTGAATATTAGTTCCATATTTCCGGGTGACATAAGGTGAGGGCACCACTAACGGTGGTACCAGTAGTTACGAGGCCCTGGCCGAGCTCTGTTCTAGAATATAACTTGTATATGTGTTGCAAGGTTATAAAAAAAATAATTGGAATTATCATTAATCGTTGAAGATAGAGAATGAGTGTTCGAAGAAACTTGGAATCTTATTGTTGAAAAAGATATAGAAATTTTTGTGGATAGCTCAAAATAAAGATATGAAAAGCAAAAATATGTACAAATGTAAGTTATTAAATTATAATTACTATCACTTGTAATATGTATGAGATTGTTGGATTATTGAATTTCATTATGGTAAATATCTTTTTTAACATGTAATAATTCAAGTATGTATGTTTGTAATTAGCGTTCCAGGAAGAACACTGATATGTGTTGTTGAATTTTGTACATTGATAAGGATCCGAAGCAAGGATCGAAACGTATGGTAATACGAAATTTGTCGAATAAATTCATTTACACAGGAACTACTAGTGTTTGACTCGGAAAGGCATCTTCATATTCATAGATTTATTCAACTGACAAGTCTAATTATATCCATCTATACATATATATTTTTATTTTGGTTATAACAGGCGTCTGATATTAATCAATTTGATTATTTGACCAATAATGTTTGTTATTGTATTGCTATCATTTGTCTTTATATTATTGGTGTGTAACTATTATGTGTATTATGGAAAAATCGGACGACTCATTAACCTAATACCAGGACCATTATGCTATCCAATTGTTGGAAGTGTGTACCTATTATTGGGTTCACGAGGTAAGTTAAAATATTTTACATACTTAAATAAAATTTTATTTTAATTTATGTTAAAATGTTTTACATATTTGTGATTCAATGTTTAACGGTGTATCATTCAATTAAATTATTAGTCCGTTTTAATCTTCGGTATACTGAAAATCATAATTGTGTTACTCAATTTATCCAGAAACGACTATAATAATTAAAATAATATTTAAATTAGCATCCAATTTACTCCGAGTAAATTAATGAATAATTCCTGAGTAAATTAATGTTTACCTTTGTACATATATGCAAATATGATATTTGTAAACATTTCACTTTAAGAAACATTAAGTATTTCGATTAAGAAACATTTGCTTTTTAATTAGTTTTAAGAATTATTTATTATATATAAGACTTTTCTTTCACCAATTGACTTTTCTCTTTAGACTTAACGGGATTTTCGCTCTTCAACGAGGATTTAGTTATATCGTATAACATCATGAGATTTTTAAGTTAATTATTTAATTATTTGCTAACTGAAGAGGACTCTGTATAGTCGAAACGTATTATGTATGAGAATTGAGTGATTTTGCATCTCAAATATATATATTCTATTATAACCTAACTTTCTTGCTCGTTTTGGTCGTTTTCTATTGTTGCTTTGTCAAATTATTTATTTCATCAATCTTGTTAATTATTTTCTACATAATAGTATTCATTTCTCGATTACTGAACTATATTGAGAAATGATAGGGTAGTATATTAAAAATATCATATTTCTGTATATTTAAATTTTTAATCGATTTTTATTAATGTTTATAAATTTACATAATATTACAAATAACAATGTTGTGTATTTATATAGGTGTGTATTTATATAGGTGTGTGTATTTATATAGGTGTGTATATACACATATATATGTATACAGGGTATCCTAAAAAGGTCGGGACACCTAAATGCCTAAATATCTCGGGAAATATAAGTTTTACAGGAAAGTGTTTCAGACAAAAGTTATATGGTTTAAAAATATCTATTTACTGATCCTATCAGTTTGACCTTAGGTTGCGTAGCCAAGGTCAGGTCAAGGTTACATTGATTTTCTGAAATGGAACACCCTATTTTTTATTCAAGAATCTAATAACTGATGTCGAGAGCTTTCCAAAACGTTATAATAAAATATTTTTTTATGAAGTACTTTTCAAGTTATAATGCTTCAAAGTTACAGTATCGCCGGCACTAGCATTACCCAAGATATGTAATACCACGCGTTATGTTTTTGTTGTGTGTTAACTGAAGGTCAAGATTCACGGACCACCAACCGATCTCGCCTTGACTGGTCAGTCTCCAAAATTAAATATTATGGGTAATGCTAATGCCGGCGATACTGTAACTTTGAAGCATTATAACTTGAAAAGTACTTCATAAAAAAATATTTCATTATAGCGTTTTGGAAAGCTCTCGACATCAGCTATTAAATTCTTGAATCAAAAATAGGGTGTTCCATTTAAGAAAATCAATGTAACCTTGACCTGAGCGGGGTGATCCCGATTGATCACGGCTCGATTGGACACCACCA